ATTCAATTCAGCAGACTTAAACAGCTTATGGAACACCACACAGTATTTAATAAAAACGTATTGTGGCATCTGCAGGCAAAGCATGTTATTGTGCTACGCGGTGTCTCATTGAGGGTGCATAGCAAAGACTTGCACTTAACATAAATTAGGCTTCTGAAATTAAGTTGTGTGATGCAAATGTTTGTGCATATAGACTCACCACGTTTAAAATATCTGGTAAGATGTCTCTCATCATTTTTTTTGTGTGTAGGGAAGGGGGGCGGGGGGGTGTAGTTGTACTAAATTGTCAATAGATCAAATGGACTAAAATAATTAGAGGCTAACACAGATTACTCTTCTAAAGAAAAAGTAAAAAGGTTGAGAAGCGATACAAGAACATGAGCCTATACCTCAATTTGTCTCTGCTGCTCCTTGCACGATCGAGCAACAATTTCATGCACCGTATCACTAGATTACAGAGAATTTTAATTTATTTTAGATAAGGAAGTAAATGGCAACAACATCAACATGTGATATAGACAACAAAGCAATAAGAACACCGTGAAGTATCATTAAAACCAAATAAGGAACACAAAGGAAAACCCATTAATCACGCCGTTCTAACACAAGTTTCACAACGAAATCACTCCGTGATACCTCATATCATAGTCACAAGTCCCGGGTCTCAACCCACCATCATATACACGGTACCTTGTGCCCACATCTTGAATCACAACCACATGGATAACTCACGTGCCAAAATCACAATTCGCCCAGCATAGTCACAGTCTCACAGTCACAATCCGCCCGACATAGTCACAGACCAACAATCACAATCCTTCCGGCATAGTCACAGGCTCACAATCACAATCCGTCCGGCATGATCACAGGCTCACAATCACAATCCGTCCGGCATAATCACAGGCTCAATAGCAACATGAAAACGGATAATACAAGAACACATGGGCATGATTAATAAATGTCAAGTTTCATACTCTTAGACTGGTATAAGTGGCATGCTACGATGTATGCTTGTGCGAGTGTACTACTGCAGCCTAAGTCAACACGTAATATCAAACACATCGAATAGCTCATCGAAACAACAAAAATCCTTGAACAGAACAAGTGTGAAAATAACGCGTGTTATTAGAATCAGTACTGAAATAATCACTATTATATTTAGTCCCACGGGTTTACTGCATTATGCCAATTTGCAATTCCATCCAAAATAACAGGGTCAGAAAATTTCAAATATCCAAATTCCAATTTCAAATTTTGATGTAGCTCTATAATTTCATAAAATAGATGAAAGATTTTGTACCTAAATTTGGTTGCGATTTCTAAATACGGATAATTTTCTCAATATTAGATTCGATTACACTAGCTTTTATTTGTTTTCTCTCGCGTA